AGAAGTGCAGTTCTCTGATAAAAAACATGGGAAAACCAAAAGAAATGCTAATGGGTAGCCCTTAACTCTTCAGGAAAGCATACCAATTAGCCAATCTACAAGCCAAAAAGATATATATTTTTTTTCTTTGATTTGTTGTGTCTTTTTGAGAAACAGAATTCAACTACTCAGTGTCCCAGTATTCTATATTGAAGATTTTTTCATTCTTCCATATTAATTCTGTTATTAACACATTCTTGGCAAGTCCTAAAAGCATGACAGACTATTTCAAATTAGTTCTAAAATATTCTATATATATTGAATATAAAAGTTTTAAATAATAGCTGGAAACAGAATTTAAAACACATAAAAGGTTTCCCTGAATCAAAAAACAGCAAAACCCTACAAAAAGGTAAATCAATATTTATGAAAAATTTTTCAGACAAAGAAGTATATTTCATATAGGAATACAATGAAGCACACACATTTTAGACACTTACTTTTGTACTAAGGGACCCTGTTTCCATCTTCTCAAAGCCAAGTGCCAGAACACAATCTGCCAAACCTTTAAATAAAATTTGTGGTTATTTGAATAACAATTTAATTATAACTGACATTACGTACCATTAAACATTTTATTACAAGAAATATGCAAACATCTGCCCGCTACTCTTCCACCTTTCTTAATTTTTGAAAACAAGTCAAACCGGGAAGGGAATGGCACGAAACCAAAAATATTTATATTAAATATTGAGAGATCACTAAAGAGTTTGATTTTTATAATTCTCTATAGTTTAATTTCAAATATTTTCTATAACAAAGCACTCATGTTTCAGCCACAAATATTAGCCTAAACATACAGAAGCATATAGAATTTACTATAAATATTACAGATACACCGGCAGTTGATTGTAAGAAAGTGTCAAAATCTACCAAGGAACTACAGAAATAGAAGGAAACTCTGAGCTATCCAACGAAACCAGTGTCAATCACAAAATGTTCTCCTCCCCACCAAAAATCAATTAGGTAAAACCTTATTCCGTACAGCACTGAACAACCTCTTCAGTAGAACAAGACAGAAAACACATTTCCACCTTTTGAAGACAGGATTTTTAAAAATCTGGGTATCCTTTCACACAGATACTTGCTAGTTCCATTCCTCATCAAGTTACAGTTATAGAAATAAAAAATATTTATTGACTAATTCCAGAGCAAAATAACTCACCTCCTTCTACCAGTTGCCTGGCCATGAATAAAGCAGTAGATCCAGTAGCACAGTTGTTGTTAACATTAACGATAGGAATGCCAGTTAAACCCAAACTGTGGTAGATGGCCCGTTGTCCACAGGTTGAGTCACCTTCACAGAGATGTAACATTAAAATAAGGTACATACCAAGCTTTGCTAGCAAAAAGATATTCTACCATGAGTATGCAATACTACAGGTTTGAACTGTGAATTTGAGTACTCACCTCAAAGTATCACCAGTATAAGAACCTTAGAAACAAGATGAAAATCTTACTTAACAACAAAAACAAAACAGCAATTTGTCCTGCTTCTGTGACAAGCTGTYACAACAGAGTGAACTGATATAAGGTTAACTGGACTGGACACCAAGGCATTAGTGTGGTTTATAGGTTGCTAGAAACAATACAGCAGATTGAACCTACTACTGTTGCCATAATAGAGTGATTAATAGAGAAACATCAAGAACAAAAATGTACAATTCTCCTTGAAATGGAATGAAATCTGTCATTTGGACTGGTAGGAAAGCGTTCAAACCAAACCATTTAATACCATCCACTCTCTCTACACTAATCAGTGTCTGCAAGACAAAAGTTCTGCTTGGAGTGACTGCTAGAAATCCATTTTGAGAGTCCAGTTGATAAAGAAGGAAGGGCACCACTGCAGAGATACCTTAACTACTCAGTTTTCTTCACATTACCCTGGAGTCATACTAATGCATATACCCTTAACAATCTTAGACTAAACATAAAATCAYGGTTATGTTTTTGAATATGTGCATAGGATTAAAAAAGTTCTGAAACTCTCACAGAGTAGATCTCAACTAACACCTAGACTTGGGTTCAAGCATATAGACATTCTGTGCTCTAGGGCTGATATTGCAAAGATACAGAATGCATGTGATCCCAGAAATACCTCTATCAAGTGTTTCCAACTCAGGAGCCCTGGGTCAACAAGTTTACCCTTTCTAGTGAACATACACCATTAAAGACAAATAAAATTCTGCTATAACTTTAATTGCAAATAGATTGCCATAAACATTGCAATATGTAAGCTTGTATCGCTTTATAAAAGTGCTGCTTGATTCTGCAGGGCTACTTACAAAGAGCCATTTGCAAGGCAATTTTCTTGAAATCTTTCCATATACACTAGGACATAGATGAAAAGTTACTAATCTATTCTCATTGAAAAACAACAACAAAAAAAGAAAATTCTACAGACTGACACATGATTAATAACCTACATAGGACCCCTGAAACTAGTAAGAGCCCCTTACACACTTTATGGATACAAGTATCTGCAAATTCACATCCTAAACAATGGTGTTACTTACCATACACATAACCCACACAGGCTTGCTCCACTGCTGAGTAAGGAATGCCAGCGTCAGCTAAAGCCTTCTGGCCTTAAAAAGTTAAAATAAATAAACAAATAAACTCTCACAATCACCATAAGTATACTTAATTTAGTCTTTTTAAATCATTGTCTACACAACTTTAAGAATTTCTTATTGGGCCATGCAATATAGCCCTGTATCTTAACTGTCACAGGAAGAACAGTGAGCTCTGAGCAAGTTTCTTTATCCGAAAATTTTCATCCAATTAATTTTGTGTTCACGCCCAAAGGTTGTTGGTCCTAATGAAAGTATCTTTAAATAATATATGCAGACATAAAATGATTTTAATTGACCAGGTTTAAGCTGTCTTTTTGTCTTTGGCACTGTAAAGTAGTGAGTTAAAAGCTGAACAGGTCAGTTCTGAACTTTGTCACTTATTCATTTTCATCAGTGTTTAAACTTGCTTTTTAAGTGTATTTATTTCCTGAACAACAGAAAGAGCAACAGAGTTGCTTTCTAGATTGTTTATTATAGAATTACAGAATCATTATGGTTGGAAAAGACCTTCAAAAAGATTAACTGCAAGATTTGAGAGTCTAAGCAGTCAAAGCTGAACTTAGTATTATTTATTATTGTATTACCTGCTTCCTTAGCCATGTCAGGATAATCACTGTCTGCATTAGGCTTCACAAACTGACAAAAAAAAAAAAAAAA